CGGCGCGGTCCAACTCGTCGTCCAGCTCGAAGGTAGGCAAGGTGGGATAGTCGCGACAAGTCCCTGGTTCCCCGCGCCTAGCGGATGTCGCTGTCGTGGCTGACTCGCCACCGGTGGTCCATCCATTTCGTGTGGGATCGCAAATGAGCCTGAACCTCTCGCGGCGCTCGCGAGTAGCAGGGGAGGCCTCGCTCGCGCGCCCGGGCTCGTTCTCGCAGCGGGCGGAATCGGTCCTGATGCACCTGTCAATGCCGGCGCGGTCGGGCGCTCTCCTTCGCGTCGTACCTGGCCGCGTTGGCGCGGATCACGCGGGCGAGCATCGCCGCGTGCATGGCGGGGTATTGGTCCATCTTGGCGATGCGGAAGGCGTCTTCATAATGCTCGATGTCGGCCGCCACGTCGGTGCGGAATCCGCCGCGCTTGCGCCCCGCATGCAGGCCCGTGGCGAGCGCGCCGAAGTCCCAAGAAAAAGCGCTGGCGATGGCCTCGTGCTCGCGTCATCGGGACGTGGTCGGGGACCTGATCCAGGCCGCGGACTCGTCGATGCGCGCGCCGATCAAGTCGGATGCTGCGGACCAGCTCCTGGAGATTCTCGTGGCCGATGAAGTAGTCAAGCCTGGACTTTGACCGCTTGGGTCCGTTGCGTGTGTTGCACGCGTCGCTGCGAGCGCTGGTGGAACTGAGTTCGCGGTGCCGGAGCTGCGCGTGAACGTGCCTGCCGAAGCCGCTTTCGCCACCAGCTTGAAACTTGCCAGCGCAATTCTCGGCGACTAGCCAGTTGGACTGGCAACCCCAGCTCCGATCAAGGTCCGTGAGCACAATCGGAAGCACGCGCCCTGCGCGCGTGGTGGCGACGCTCACGAAGACGAGTGCATCAATGTCCTTACATGTGTTTGATATCGTCCAGCAGGTCGTGGCGCGAAGTAAGCGACAACGTTTCGTATGCGGAGGGCTCTTCGATGGACTTCGACTACTCCCTACTCGTCTTCGGAGCTCGGGTCCAAGGTGCAGATGTTTGGCGATGTCGTTGCGTCGGTAGAAAGTGATGCTGTAGCCTGCAGATGCGTTGGTCTGTGATCCGCGCCCCCGGCCGAAGTGGTGCGCCACTGACCTCCCGACGCGATGTGAAGCGTCTCGTGTTGGTTGGCGACTGTTGGCGCCCACCATCAGGAGCGCCTGGTACTGCCTGAAAGTGTCGTTGATGTCGCCGAGGCGGCTTGGCGCTCCCGTGAGCGCGAACGGGCTCCATCTGAGGACCGCAGATGGTTTGGTCGAGATCGTCGTGCCGGTAGGGTCGGCGCCCGCGGGGATGGGATCATAAGTCCCGCGACCCGCACTTCACTAGACCCACGTGGGGGGCAGAACCAGCCATCAGCAAGTAATTCGCCGTCGGCGGGCCCGTGCAAGTAATGTCCGGGTGGCAATTCATGTTGAAAGTCTGACAATACTTGATCCGTTCGGCGCACTGTTGGTTCGTGGTCTGGCCGTAGCTTCTCTGCTGGGCACAAGTCATACTCAAAATCTGGCAGTAACTGATCCGCTGGGGGCAAGTCGTGTTCAAGGTATACCCGTGACTGGTTTGCTGAGCGCGAGACGAGTTCAAGGTCTGGCTGTGACTGATCGGCAGGCCGCAAGACGTGTTCAAAGTCTGGCTGTAGTCTTACCCCAGGCGGGGGTAGTTGCTCGTCCAAAGGACAAAGAAACGACTCGATGTCGTCAATATCGTATGTGGGTTGATCCAATGTGGCATCCACTAAGTGCTGAAGTGTCTCAGCTGCACGTCGATAGGGATGCCGATGTCGTTTGCCATGGTCTGTTGTGGTCATTGATCACCGCGATGCCCGTCGCTGCCGCTGCTGGAGCACATCCTGCGGCCTGACTCCGAGCGCGGTCGCTATGGCAAGATGCCCCCTGCCTTGGAGCCGAGGGCGGGTTGGGGTGAGTCCTGGCGGCCGCTGCACCTCAAAGGCCTGATCTCGCGGCGGCATTTCATCATCGTCATCATCATCATCATCACCACCACCATCATCATCAGCATCCTCATCCTCATCCTCATCCTCATCATTAGCAACGACACCACCACCAACGCCACCGGTATCATCATCATCATCCTCATCATCAGCATCATCAGCATCATCATCATCATCATCAGCAGCAGCATCATGAGCAGCATCATCATCAATCAGAACATCATCATCATCATCAGCAGCATCATCATTATCATCATCAGCAGAATCATCCTCATCATCATCACCCTCTCCAACCTCAAACTCACTGTCCTTATCATCCTCATCATCTCCATCATTATTCACTCTGCACCCGTCATCGCCATCGCCGCCACCCGCCTCCTCCTCCTCGTGTTCATCGCGCGCCTCGGGCCCATCCTCATCAGCATTCCCTCAGGGCGTCTCCGAAGGCGCCCGAGGCACAGGCCAAGCACCAAAGGGCATGTTGATTCAAGTGCCTTCAGACTTCAAACCTCCTCACCCCTCCATTCCCCGTCCTGGCCTGCCTCGTTCCTGCCGCCTCCCCCTTAGAAAGTGAGCAAACCACCATAGAAGCCAACAGCGTCTACAGCGTCTCGACCATTCTCTCCATCTCTCCAACACCTAGCAGGCACATGGTTTAGTTGTGCCACACTTCGATAGCGGCCGACATCCGTGGATGAGTCGAGAGTTGACAAATTACCATGCTGTAGTGCTCAATACATGCAAAAGTAAGATACAACAGGGTCCCCGTACTGTACCTGTCTACTTACGCTGTGGCGCTCTTGGCCTTGGACATGCGTCTGTGCGGAAGCATGGCGCAGGGAGCAAACAAGCTGAGACACATGTGAGTTGGTGGTGGTTCGCTCACAGATTGGTTCCGGCGTGCGCCATGTGCGGTGCTCTGTAGTATGCGGCCCCTGTGGACTGCTTGGTGGCATCATTGAATACCTCGAGACGGTGCGTTGTCAATTGGCTCGAGAGTTGGCGCAGAGGGCGCGGGAGAACAGAGGGCAGCTGGCAAGGAGCGAGCAGACGTTCGCCGCGGAGTCCCACCGCGCGCGGAGACTCCCTGAGAGCATGCCTCGGGGATCTACTAACCCATGTCAATCAGACTGGGGTCAGCAAGAAACCAAAAAACTGAAATGCGGGACAAAAAAACTGCAACGCAGGGCTTCGCAAACGCAGGTCAGCCAATATGCGCGGCCGCCTCGCGGTCACGAGCGGCTCGCTAACCCGTGTGAGCCAGAGGGGGTCTTCGCAGGATCCTGCAGGATCCGGTGCCCGGGCTGACCCTCGTTTGCATTGACCCCCGTCTCTTAAACTACGAATGCCCATCCACTTGCGCCACCGGCCGCATGGCGCGAGAGAACAGAGGGCAGCTGGCAACGAGAGGCAGCGCGAGCAGACGTTCGCCGCACAGTCGCAGCGCACGCGGGCACCGATAGAGTATGCCGATCCATCTGCGCCGCCTGCCGCAGCGGGGGGCGGACTGCAACGTGCGGGGCGCTGGGGCGGCCCGCACACGGACAGCCGAAGGCTGGGTTGCAGTGGCGTCGACTGTGCGACAGGTGGGATTGTGAAGTGCTGCGCACGGTGGGTTGAATCGGCAGTTCACCCCCACGAACAAGCCCAAGCTGTAAGCTCGGTGATGTGGCTGGCTCAGCGGTCGTCGATGAAGCGCGCGCCGCGCCCTGAGCGATCACCGCAACGACTGCGCCAGACATCGGGCTCGATAATCGGCGCCCGCTTTATGTCTGAATCGCTGGGTGGACGGCCCAGATACGGGAGCTGCAAGCGGAGAGCGTCCTGGTGCATTTCGACGTGTACGCCGACGGAGGTGGAGACAAGGGTAACCCGTAAATGTACTCTGGCATCGGCTTCCAGCTGAACTCAGGTCACATGCCCACGGCAAGTTCGAGAGGACACATGACCCACAATGGGCAATGTTAACTGAAGTGGTGGATCAGCCATAGGTTCACAGCGTGCGCTGCAACATGCGCTTGATCAAGAGCATCTTGATGTCGCATCTAGTCTGCGCTGCCTGTGCTGGTCTGTCACCTCCGACTCGCGTTCCACGAACGTGGCCAGTGGACGTGGCGGCAACAGTGTCTTGGTTCCTGGAGGATTCTCGTTTGCGGTCCGTCTTGGCTGTGCGGAGATGGACCTCTCTATGTCTTGCAAGATCGGTTCCAAAAATCAGGTTTCACGCATGTGCCATATCATGTAAGGCCAAAGCCGTGAAGATCGCAATGCATCAAGCACTGCACACCGCGTTCAAAAGTTGCGACGATGGGGTAGCCAGTGCTCGACTGCCGGGTGCACTTGGCGCCACACTGCAGGACGCGATTGAGCATCCCGCCTGACATGCTCAGCGCTGGCCGAGGATAAATCGGTGCCGTCCATGATGTCGGTCTGGGGCTTGTGCTGTGACTCTCCTCCTCCCCCTCCTCCTCCCCCTCCCTCTCCTCCTCCTCCTCCTCCTCCTCCTCCTCCTCCCCCTCCTCCTCCTCCTCCTCCTCCTCCTCCTCCTCTTCCTCCTCCTCCTCCTTTGCACACGTGCATGCTGATCGCCACGTAAGACGCGTTGCACGGCCGAGCCTCCGCAGGGCCGCCGAGCCTCCGCTTTGCTCTCGCGAAGCCCACCGGACCAGGGCGTCGGCCTCGCGGCACATGAGGAACGGCTTCACGAGGCACCTCCTCCGACTCCTCCTCCACCTCCTGCTCCCTATTGTCGGGGAGACGTAAGACCCGGGTACGGGGGACTCGGAACTCCCCGACGAGGTCCTCCTCCTGCTCCCTATTTAGAGGGAAGAGGACTATGCACATGCACCGATTCTGGCCAGGCCCATCCTGAGCCCAGGATCGGTGCATACGCCCTCCTACCTTGGCCAGGAAGGCATATGCACCGATCCTGGGTCAAGGATGGGCCTTGCCAGGATCAGTGCATGTGCATAGTTCTCTTCACCCGACCTATTGCTCCCAGCGGGAAGGGGGGGCGCGCTCCTTCGTGCTTCAGCATGCCCGAGGAGGTGTTGGTCTCGAGCTGGTTCCTGAGGGCACGGCAGGCTCCATGGGCAGGCGGAGGCTTTGGCAAGAGGACGCCGACTCTACACCTACGGGGGAAACCAATCGGGTACCGATTCCGCTACTTCGCAGACCTCTCCAGGGATGCGTTCTGACCAGGACTTGGAGGCGAACCCAGCGGTGGCGACGAGAACCGCCCAGGAGGCCCAAAATCGAGGCGAGGGCAGCGGCATCCGGACCTTGTCCTCCTCTTACCTCCACCAGTCTTGGCCAGGCTCGTCCAGATTCCAACTGCCCCATGGAGGGGCAGAATTCGAGCGGCCACCCCGCACCGATCCAGGCCTGCCCGATCCCGGGCCCGGAATCGGTGTACGCACCTCCCCAGCAAGGCCAGGAGGTCACACACACAAACACACACACACACACACACACACACACACGAAAGCATGAACGACAAGCATTAACGAAATAGTGCAACAAATTTCATTGGAGGCACACAGACGCCGATCCTGGGCCCAGGATAATTTGGCGGCGCGCACAAAGGGGCAGTGGTCGGTTGACGCCGACAGAATGCAGGCGTCAAGCTGGCGCCCCCCGAATGGCGCGGGATCTGGCTATGGCGAAAATTGTCATGGCACGTTCCAAGAATGTCAGACCATCTAGCGGCGCAGTCGGTGCGAAACATCAGGTAACACAAGAAATTATGATAACCTTGGACATCTTGGAAAGTATCATTATCATGCCCTCTTCCTCATCTAAATCCTTGCCACCGATAAATTATTCCGCCTTGGGCGGCCTGCGCTACCGAGGATTCCACAAAGGGCGGGCGCTCGCGCCTACGCTGCAGCCCCGCCGAGAATGCACGAGCCTACCGCAGTGGATGCAGGAAGGCCGGGTCTTGGGGATTGCTGGCTGACCAACTCACCAAATCTGGCCAGACACATCTTGACACAGGATCTGAATACACGCCCTCCTAGCTTGGTAACGGAGGCGTAACACTGATCGGCCATCGGCCGAACTAATATCGGTCAGGTGGTCAGCTGACTTCCCCCCACAACTACGTTCAATGACAAAATATTCCCATCCAACAAACTGCCCAGACAACACCCTGGATAACCCGCGCTGTTTAATTGATGACGACAAGGCGGCCTTCCCTGGACAACCTCTTGGACAACACAGCGGGGATCCGGACAACCCCATTGGACAACCCCCCTTGGTCAAGTCTCCCCAGGATTTTTCTTCAATAAGATATGGTAGATCACCTAGCTTCGCGTTTCGAGTTCCTCTTTTCGTGGAGCAGCGCGAGGCAGTGTTGTGTTCGCACGCTCGCGCGGCTCGCGCGACACCCAGGGATGGAGGAGACGGGCGCAGCTCTCTGGCCCAGACCGCGATGAGCCAGTCACGCAAGACCGTCTTGACGGCCAAATTGGATCAGATCCGCGGCTCCTGTAGTGCGTGTCGCTGGCGAGGGCCTCTGCAATCTTGCTGAGGTCGACGTGGCAGACGACGTCAGCGGCGTCGCGGATCCATAGAAACGCCGAGTGCAGGTCCTTCTGGCGGAAGCCCACAAGAAAAAGAGAATGAGAGCGACGAGGCACATGGTGATCTGCGATTGTCGCCCTCAACCATGCAGCAAGATCGCTGCAATTTCAGTTTTGACCGCACATATACAAACGTCAAAGATCGGATCCGCTGGGCGCTAGCACTTGACGCCCAAGACCGCTGGGAACATTGAAAGCGAGGCCAGCCTTGGCCAAGCAAGTGCGGGCGACCACGGCATTCCAAAGGCCTGGAGAACATGTGGAAACCCAGAAACATAGTACGGTTCCCCTGGCCTCTCCCATGGCGCGCTCTGACCAAGACACCGTCGCGACACTAGTCGTGGCGACATGGGAACCTCAGGGAAGCCCTTCGAATTCGAAAAGCGTAAACATAAACTTTTGGAGGTCCGCGCGGTTTGCTTGGATCTGCGCTGACCCTCCCTCCCAGGCTCGCGGAGCGCGCCATGGCGGCGCCAGAGGCACCGCCAGCGGAGTCCAACGCAGAGCCAAGAAATCCGCGCGGAGGGTCATAAGTTTGTGTGCATGCCGTTTGCTATTCTTCGAGTTTCTTCTCTGGGTGCCAAGGACTTCGGGGTATGGTGTGCGTCCGTCGTTACTCCCAACGCCCACCCCGGCATCTCCTTCCCCAGAAAATCTCAAGAAGCATGCGTTCTGTCTCGGCGCTCGCGCTCTCTTGTGCTGGGCAGTTGTGCTGAGGTAGCGAGTTCTTTGGAGGCTTAGAAATGGGCACCAACACCAACACCGAGGGTTGCCTCCACCAGGGGAAAGTGATCCTAGATGATGGTGTCGGTGGTAACCTTTCGGCCACATTGGAAACCCGAGTATTACCAGTCACCGAGATCGGGATCGTCTTCGCCCCGTGGAGGCGATTCGCCGATATTGGTGTTGGTGTCAACCTCTAGGCCTCCGAAGTCTTCTCTGAGCGCCAAGTCCTTCTTGGCGAAGCCGAGGTCGCCCACCCGCTTCAGCAGGTAGGGCAGCGCCCGCCCGTGCATCTCGCGGGCCGCCGCTCGCACGTGCCGCAGGGCCTCCCGCTGGCAGGGCGCCGTGCCCACGACGGACTCCAGCTCGGAGGGGCTCAGGAAGGGCGACCAGCCAGCGAGCGCGTCCTGACAGCACCTCTTTCGTCGCCATCACTCCCCTCCTCTCCCTCTCTTTCCCTCCTTCCCTCCTCCTCCTCCTCCTCCTCCTCCTCCTCTTCCTCTTCCTTCTCCTCCTCCTCCTCCTCCTCCTCCTCCTCCTCCTCCTCCTCCTCCTCCCCCTCCTCCCTCTCTCCTCCTCCTCCTCCCTCCTCCTCCTCCTCTCCTCCTCCTCCTCCTCCTCCGCCTCCTCCTCATCCACCTCCTCCTCTCCTCCTCCTCCCCTCCTCCGTCCCCCTCCTCCGTCTCCTCCTCCCTCCTCCTCCTCCTCCTCTCCTCCCCTCCTCCTCTCCTCCTCCTCCTCCTCCTCCTCCTCCCCTCCTCCTCCTCTCCTCCTCCTCCCTCCTCCTCCCCCTCCTCCTCCCACACCTCCTCCTCCCCCTCCCCCTCCTCCTCCCCCTCCTCCTCCTCCTCCTCCTCCTCCTCCTCCTCCTCCTCCTCCTCCTCCTCCTCCTCCGCCTCCTCCTCCTCCTCCTCCTCCTCCTCCTCCTCCTCCTCCTCCTCCTCCTCCTCCTCCTCCTCCCTCCTCCTCCTCCTCCTCCCCCTCTTCCGTCCCCTCCTCCGTCTCCTCCTCCTCCTCCTCCTCCTCCTCCTCCACCTCCTCCTCGTCGTCCTCCTCCTCCCCCTCCTCCTCCCCTTTGCGACACCAAGATCTGCAGGAAACGGGGTAACAAACCGCCCGATTTCGTGGGACGTCTAAGCACGCGAGACTACATCGGGGGTTGGCAGAGTCCCGGAGGGCCACCGCCCTGTTGAACATGATTTCTCCCGCTCACACCCCTGATGAAGAAAATCCTGGAAACCTCGCGTGGTAACTTGAGACCCGATGTGCCTCGTAACCACGTCGAACACGTCGGGTTCACATCTGCATACGTGGGATGCGCGTTGGAGTTGAGTCGGATGTACGTCGGACAATCGCTGCGCGAATGTCGACCCATATCTTACGGAACGGACTGGTGGACTAGATAATGCAACCACGGCGCGCCTCGCGAGGCCTGCAGGACGTTCCTCATAACACCCCCATTGTCGACCCCGCAACAACCCGCGCTCGTTGAAAGAACAAACTTACGCAAAGACGCGCCCGAACCATCAACACCAGGCGCCATGATTAACGGGCCCAAATCAAAGCAGTGAGTGCCTGAAAGGCCGCGTGCTTGTCACGGGAACCACATGGGAAAGACATATTCGCATGCCCATTCGTATTTCCCGGAAACGACACCGTTAAATGTAACAAAAAAGTAGCAGAAGGACAACGACGAATGACACATGAGGAGCGCGAACCCAATCGGGAAGCAACCCACCCTTCCCAAAAGATAGGGGACGGTCTGGAGGCCGATGGGAAAAAAAGGCACGCAATCTGGCGGCGGCGAACACAGTCGCCAAATCGCCACTGCTGCAGCGATCTTGGGCTGTCGCGTGGCCTCGTCCTGCCGCTGCGGGCACTGAACCTGGCCAGTATCGTTGCCTCCGCTTGCCCCCCCGTCGCCGCGGGCGCTGCATTTTTTTGGTTGGAGAAGCACGCCGCGGGCACTGAACTGTTGCAGCCCCGCGCGCTTGCCCACGCATGGGCCCGAGTTGCGTTTGTCTCTCCTCGCGAAAAGCCCTCGCACCAGCCCTGGAGGCCTCCTGAATGGGGCCCGAATAGATGGGGTCGGAGGATCGCGCCGCGTCGCCGATGGCATCGCCGATGGCGATGTATCGCCAATGCGGCGCCGACGTCGGCGACGTATCGCAAGGAAAATCGGGCTCCGCATCGGACCCCATCGCCGATGCGTCGGCGACGCGGCGCGATCCTCCGACCCCATCAGCTCGGACCTCGTCCGGGAAGCCCCGAACGCACCTGCTCGCGCAGAGCCCGCGCGCCAGCTCTTCGGCTTCACTCCCGCCTGCTGTCCGCCCGGGCGCCAAAACATCGCGGGCGGCCCCGCCAAACCCGCGGGCGGCCTCCAGGGGGGAGACTCCAGCCCCGGACCGCGGATCATCAGCAGGTTGCCCGACGTCGCGGCCCTGGAACGCATGGCGCACACGCCAAGACGAAACCACTACAAGGATACCGCCGGTCGGAAGAAGCCGGTAGAAACATGGAGTAGGATGGCGGATGAAGCAGCTCGGCCCCCCCCCCCCCCCCCCAGGCAATATCAAAATACAGCACAAGCATATCGACACTTCGCGTAGGCAGCCGGTCGAAGTGGAATGGGATCTGGGAATCCGGAAGGCACCTGATATCGACGACCAGCGCGTAAGACGAAGCCACATCAAAGATAAATCGAAAATCTCTCAGATTCGGCGGCTCTGGACGATGTCTCGGGCGCCGCGGCCTCCCCCAGCGTTTCTGCGCGCGCCCCCCGCGCACCCGTCGCGGAGAGAGGGGGAAGGGGGGCTGCTCTTTTTCTCGAGCAACAAAGGGCTGCAGGATTTCGTGTCATCGCCCAAACAGTCTGATTATACTTTGATATAATCATATATCCCAGTAAAACTACAAACTTCCCAGCACTTCCCCTTGGGCGCAGGGGGGCGGCTCGGCCTCCAGCCGAGAAGCGCGAGCAAGGTGCCAGCTCTGTGGCCCCTATTTCCGCGGGCCCTCCGCGGGGCCCCCCGCGGGCCCCCAGCCCGCGCGCGGGTCAAACCGCCGCGGGCAGGCGCTGGACTAACCGCCGCCTTGTCATTAGCTCAGCCTCGGCTGTCGCAGCGCTTCCTGCGGCCATCCGTCTAGCTCTCCGGGTGGATCAGCTGAGAGCCACCGGGGCGATCTCGGCACTCGCTCTTGAACGTCTCCACCCACTGCTGCGCGGCCGCAGGACTACTCAAATCCTGCAAGTTGATCCTGATCGGGGGTCCGCGCGCCGTAGCCGCCACTCTCAGCTCCTCGATCTCCTCGGCCTAGCGATCCGACAGGACGCGGCCCCTCCTGATCAGCCCCATGATCAGGTCGTCTTTGAGGCCACTCACGCGCAGGCCTTTGGCCCTCGAGATCTGCTTCAAGTCGACCGCGAGAAACGCGTTGAAAAGCTCGTGCATCGCTCCTCCGTCGCATCGCGCTGGGCGAGGCTCTGCGCCAAGTCCCTGTGCACTCATGGCCTCGACCTCCGCGTCAGTCCGCGTGGCCAGGCAGGCGACGGCTGAGGTCCTTCTTGACGTAGCTCCTCGCGCAGCAAACTCACGCGCAACCTAGGACAAGCACCGCAGCGATCACCACGAACACACCCGTCTTTAGGACGAACCCGGGCCCCTCGCGATCCACGTAGTGGGGCACAAGTGCGGGGCAAACCGCTGGCTGGCCTGGCCCCTCGTACGCCGTCACCTTCTCGTCTGACGCAGAAGTTGCGACTCCTGTGAAACCTGTCATCGCGGTCAAGCCCTTGAACTGTTTCCCGAACAGGAGGTTCATAGTGGTGAGGTGCTTCTCTATCGTCGACCACTCAATGTACTTGGTGAGCATGTCTGCCGCCATCTCATTGGCGCCCTCCTTCAGGAGCCCAAACGCCTTGAGTCGCAGCCGCTCTTGAATCCATAAGTACTTCACTTCCAAGTGCCTGACCATGCTCACGCCCACTCTGCTGCACATGCCCCGCCCCGAGGTGCTGTCGCTGTAGACATCCAGGTTGCAGGGCCCCCGGGTCTCGACCAGGTAGGTATTGCACTGGAGTAACCTCACTGCTGGTAGCATGCATCTCGGATTCCCCTGAGCGTAGAGCCATGGTGCTCTGCGTCACCGAGTAACAGTCCCATGCGTGGTCACCATGCCGCACTGATCCTCCGCCCGTGGATCGTCTCTGCACTTCGCTTGTAGGGGCCCAGTACGCATCTCCGTCCACACGAATGCCTTCAGGAGTACCCTGCAAAGGGTAACACCATGCCAACATTGGCTGTCCATCGCAGTACCGCCCAAGGCGCTGAACTCGCGCATGCATCAAAACATTGGGGTTTGAAGCGCGCTGCATCGCGGTCATGCTGGCGTATATCGTGTCGGGCCTGTCCGAAGAGAGGTAGAGCGCCGTGCCTGCTGCACCTGCAAGTTCCCGAGCTCGATCCTTGGACAGAAGGTCTAAGCTGTCTCGTCGTCCGTGTCCTGTCGCGTTCGCCCCTGGAATAGGAGCTGGTTTGCACCGTCGCTTCCTGTCTTCATCGAAGGCAGGTGCGTTGGGACTCGCTGGTAAGTAGAACGCGCTAGGTGTCGCCGCCAAGCATTCCCAATGGCCGTCACCCATGGTAATCCGCACCAACTCTCCCCGCACCTGCGATGCCTTCCCGGTGCCGTTCATGGCCTTCCGCAGCCACCAGCACCTTCCCGGAGGGCGCAGCTCGCGTCCAGGATGAACGTAGATCGTCTCATCGAGGTCGGCGTTGAAAGAAAGCCTTCCTGACGTCCTAGACCTGGATCATCCACTTGTGCTCTCCCTCCTCCTCCTCCTCCTCCTCCTCCTCCTCCTCGTCCTCCTCCTCCTCCTCCTCCTCCTCCTCCTCCTCCTCATCCTCCCCTTCCACCTCCGATTCATCCTCCTCCGATCCATCCTCCTCCGATTCATCCTCCGTCCTCCTCCTCCTCCTCTTCCGTTCCCTTCTCCACATCCTCCTCATCATCGCCCTCCCTATACCCCTATCCCCCACCTCACGCTCCTCCTGCCTCTCCTCCACGTGCACCTCCCAATCCCAATTGCCGGAGCAAGCTAATCGATTTTCCTCGGCGCCGTCGCCGCCTCGGCCAGCACGCGCGCGTTCGCCGACGGCTGGATCACAAAGCCTTTGGGGCAACCCCGCGGGCCATCCCTTTGGAGCAACCCCGCGGGGCGCTGTGGCGCGGGAGCTGGCCGTCGGGGCAACCCCGCCGGCCACGCGGTTGGGACAACCCCGCGGGCCTCGAAGCAGGCGCGGCCGCGCTCAGGCGGGGAGCAGCACGAAACCCAGCCGTGCAGCAAGCTCCCCCTCGAAACTGAAAAGGGTCTGATCACCCGATCGGGTTACCAACATGAAATGCGGGCCACATAAGGCGGGGGCTCCCGACTGAGATGTCCTCCAAATTCACTCACAGACAAGGCTCCCGCCTCATACTTCTCAAAGGTTCATGCCTCAGGAGCCTACGAGCGACGACAGTTGCTGGCCCCATAGGGAGGGGGTTCCCGCCTGAGATTTCCTCGCAATTCACTAACAGGCGAGGCTCCCGCCTGAGACTTCCTCCAAGTTCAAGTCTGAGGGGCCCAAACATGATAACAGTTGCAGGGTTCCGATGACCCGCTCGGATTACCAGCATGAAGTGCGGCCCCATAGGGAGGGGGCTCCCGCCTGAGATTTCCTCGCAAGTCACTCACAGACGAGCCTCCCGCCTGAGATGAGTGAGTGAGTGAATGAATGAGTCAAGATGATGATGATGCTGATGATGCTGATGATGCTGATGATGATGATGATGATGATGATGATGATGATGATGATGATGATGATGATGATGATGAAAGTGTGAGTGCGTGAGTGAGTGGGCGGGTAGAAGGGTGAGTGATTGGGTGAGTGGGTGAGGGAGTAAGTGATGATCATGAGTGTGTGTGAGTGAGTGAGTGGGTGAATGAATGGGTGTGTGAATGTGTGAGCGGGGAGGTGAGTGGGTGAGCGAGTGAGTGTGAGTGGTGATGTGTATGAGAGGTTGAGTGAATGAGTGTGCGTTAGAGAAGAGGAAAGGGTGTGGTCTCTTGTTCCTGCGCGGGGTGTCCAGAGAAAACAAGAAGCCCCCTTTGGATGTGGGGAATAACAAAAAAACTGTTAAAAAGAGTGCTGGGAAAAATTGGGATTGAAACGTTTGACTCTCGGATGTCCGCGCAGATCTCCTGAGCTGGGGGAGGAACGCGCGGAGGGGCGCCGGCCCAAGAACTCCGCGCGGACCCGCAAGAGCGCCGGAAGGCTGAAACCACACACGCGCATGGCCAGATCCACGTGCGGAGCATGCGGAGGTCTCTTGCGGGATGCACGGGTAGAGGATCACCAAGGTCAAGGTCAAGGTCGAGGTCCCGTACGAGCACGAAGCCCGGTCCGATATATACAAGACGCGGAGTGAAACAATTACAACTCTCTGCTGCCGATGCATTCATGATTGGGCATGGAAAATAAGGAGGGGAGGAAGTGGGGGGGGGAGTCAAACTGCAAATCTGTCCCACGTCGTTGGTGGCCTGCCCCTGTAGCGGTAGAGGATCACCGTGCGCTGGAAAGACATGCGGCCGCATGCCTTTCCAACTCTCGCCACGGCCGGCCACGGCCGTGAGAAGCAACCGCATGATGTGTCTATCCTGCCTCCTGGATGGGCCGGAACCCCGAGGCCGCGTCCTCCTCGAGCCCGCACTCCAGCAGCGCGGCCACCAGGTCGCCGCCCGTGAGCCCGCTGGGGCACGGCATGGGCGCAGCGGCTTGACGCAAGCGGAATCGCTGGGCAGGGAACAAGAAACGCACCACCACTGGCCAGCATGCAACACATCTCATCCCTAAGATGGGCGCCAACTTCTGTCGGTGCCGGTCTGAAGGATTGACGCAAGCGGGATCGTTGGGCAGGGACAAATCAGCGCACCGACTCTGGCCAGCCTGCAGCATATCTCAATCCATAAAATGGACGTCGCCTTCTGTTGGTGCCGGTCTGAAGTTTTCGCCGAGTTTCGGATGCACACCCCTAAGATTGTCAACGCCTTGAGCCTGTCGATCCTAAGGATAGGGATGAGTTCGAGGGTGGTTAATAACACCACCAGCACCACCTGGACTGGAGGTGGGAGGCACCGCGAGAGTCGAACGTGGCGGCGGTGATAATACCTTTTCGGGAGCTCTTGCGGGGCATCCTCGCATCATCTGGATCAGCCCCTCCTGAATACCTCCAGGAGGTTGTTGGAGGCCGCCGAACTGAAACCGAAGAGTTGGGGCCCGGTGATCGCACAGCATCGCCGTTGAATCGCCGATGCATCGGCGATGCGGCGCGACCCTCCGACCCCATCTGCCACGGCCCAACGCGGGAGGCCTGGAAGAAGGGTGACACCAAGGTGCCAATGCCGCTACTCCCCAGACCTCTCCAGGGGTGCGTTCTGACCAGAATTTGGAGGCGGATCCATCGGTGGCGACGAAGGAAGGGTAACACTATCTAGACGAAGATAACTGCGTAAACATAAACTTTCGGATCTCCGCACGGATTTCTTGGATCTGCGCTGGATCCCTCTCCCTGGCGCGCGGAGCAAGCCAGGGGTGGCGCCGGAGCCGCCGCCAGGTGGGCTCAGCGCCGACCCAAGAAATCCTTGCGAAGCTCCACGAGTTGATGTTTATGCACGTGTTTCGTCTTCGAGCACCAGTCCACCCTCCTGCTCCGAGAAATGGTGGCGGTGCGCTTCTGGGCTCCCCGAACTGGAGCTCGCGCCTCCCTTTGCAGAGGCCGCCGCAGCCGCCCAGCTTCCCCACATACCTGGAGGTCCCAGATGGGGTCGGAATAGATGGGGTCGGAGGATCGCGCCGCATCGTCGATGCATCACCTGTGCATCGACGATGCATCGGCGACGTCGGGGTGGAGACAATGGGGCTCCACATCGCGCCGCCCGATGCGGCCCGATCCTCCGACCCCGTGCGCTCGCACCCCAGCTGGAAGGTGCACGTCCCTGGGCGGGGGTGGGCTATCGGGCCCGCATCGGCGATGAATGGGCGATTGGGGGTCAATGCGTCCCCCCTGGGCATATCACTCCCGCGGCCGCTTGGCACATCCGGGCACCGCTGGAACGCTCTCGGCGAGGCGCAGCCGCTGGGAAGCACCCCGAGGTTGGAAAACCGCCGAGCGCCGACGAAAGCCCAGTCAAGTCCAGAAGCCTCGCGCCAGCCACAACGCGTGAGCAATGAGTGAAAAGATGTGCACGGAAGCGGATGCCTTCAGCACGCCTCCCATGCCCTGACCGCCTGCTCCCACCTGCGAGCTGTACCGCCCTCTCGGCGGAAGTAATCAGCAAGTCGCTCATGGGAGCCGGGGCGCGCGAACAACTTTTTAGCACCGTGGGCCCCCAAGACTGTTTCGGGCGGCCTCTTCTCCTTTCCCCAAGGAGGCTCCTAAGAACCAAACCGCCCGGCTCAGACACCGAGCTTCTGACTGGATCCTCGTCTTGCTTTCTGGCTAAATGGCCATGTACAACATCTGTTGACGCGCGAGACGATCGTTCAGAGGCATCTGTTGGCAAATCGGCAAAACTGTACGATTCGACACACGACTGATTTATGACGAGAAAAATATGCAAATCCGTCTGCGACACAAATTCTCACGGTTAAGACACGCAGTCAATAATACATACGTCAATTTTGAAAGCACGCAAGCGCTAAATATACGCAGCTTATGCATCCTACTCTAAGTCGAATACGACCAGATCCTGACAAGCACGTTGACATCACTTCTGGCCGCCCCATGTATCCGACTCAAATCTGCGCTGGTGCGCCCGTCCGCAACAAGGGACGCCCCGAGATAAATTTGCGACTGCTTCGCTGGGTGGGGGCCTCGTTGCGTCCCAAAATATCTTCTTCAGTCCTCACTGTCATCAGTTCCAATTTGCCCCAAGCGAACTGAAATTCGCAATGGCCCCCCACATTGCTCAATGCAGCGCATCAGCTCTTGAAGGAGGCCCGGGTCAGAGTCTATGAGTTATGCGTCGCCCGCGTACGCCAGCTCCCACGCAAACCGACGGTCAGGCATCGGTCCGGCACGACTCCGAAGCAACGCGTGCGCGTCCGTGGGAAGCGTCGTCATGACAATGTGGAACCAGAATGGGGAAAGTGGACATCCCTGGCATATGCGCACCTCTGCTGATGCACGCTGGACGTAGCCCCAAAATCCCCCACGACGAACACGCGCTCGCTGCAAGTCGATGCGACGACGCCCGCGAAACCTCCCGGGCAGCCAACTCTCCGCAACGATCTGGCGAGCGCGTCCGGCGAGACCGAATCGAACGCTTTGGCTCAGTCAAGTGCCAGGAACAAGCGACTTGCATCTCGCGTTGACCATGCGTCGTCCAACGTCCGCGGGCGAGGATCACTGCGTCTGCCGCGCCTTTCCCCGAGCGAAGCCCGAATGGGGTTGGCCAGACGCGGTCTTCGTCCCCCGCCCGCTTCTGCCTCTTGAGCAGGATGGCCGCGAACAGTCCGCAGCCGATGGGAGAGATGCTGATGGGCGGTGGCTCTCGCATTCGGCGGGGCCGCCTTTCCGGCACAACACCGACGCCCTCGCATGCCTCCGAGCTTCTGGGATCTCCCCCATGTCTCCAGACGTCGGTGTAGAATTTTGCGAGATTGCTCGGGAGACCCCCCGCGTCGCTCGCCGCTGCTGGGCAAAATTCGGGCGGCACCCAGTCAAGACTAGGAGCGCGCCCACGCTTCAACGTCGCAGCCGCAGCCTTCACCTCTTCCGCGGTGATATCGCCCATGAAGAAGGGCAAGTCGCTGTCGGCAATGCGTGCGTCGGCTGACGGCAGCGCTGACGCGGGTCTTCCTGCCCGCTGCACCCACTCGAGGTGGCGTCGCGAAGCCTGCCCTGTTTGCGGACAGGGCCTTTCCAGAGCCTCCGAATCTGGCTCCAATCAGAGGATTTCGTGACCGAGTCAATCCAAGCCGCCTTGTCCTTGGCAACCGAGGCGAGGATTTTCTTCGACGAGCGCTCCTCCTCGTCAGTGTCGCCCTGCTTTCTGGCGCCCCCTCGGCGCTCGATCAGCCCCAGCGCCCCCGCGCTCGTCCGCGGCCTTGTGGCCCCCCTCGGAACGCATGGCAACGTGCGCTCTGCTGGGTGATGACAACCGCCCCACGATGCGACTCCGCCCCAGATCGACATCCAAATGTCTTGCTGCTGTGTCCTCGAAGCCCTCCCCCCCCCCCCCCCCCCCACCACCACCACCCCACGCAAAGCATTCAACGCGTTCACGTCGAGACAAGAAGCGGCGCGTGGGTCGGAACAGGCTACGGCATCAAGACGTGGACTCTGGCGCGCAGGCGCCGTCTTCTCAACAGACGCGTGGACGCGCGCATTCTACGAGAAATGATGGGTCGACAACGGCACGTCGTGCCCAGCAGCCACGCCACGGATGCGACGGAGAAGCGCCCTCTCGCAGAATACGAAATCGATCTGCGAGTGCGTCGAGGATCCAACTCGTAGCCCAGCAGGCGCGCCCGCGTTGTAATTGGCGACAGGGTTGCCAGCCGGCTCGTCGAAAAAATGCGCCTGCAACGCGCACGCTCACATTCTTACGCGTTTCAACCATGAAGTGCCCCTTGGCGTCTTCCTTGCACGTCTGGGGGGGTGCTCGAATATGTAGGGCCCGACCGTGCCACTCTCTACATCGAGTTGGCCATGCAACTTTGCATCCACGTCTCCTACCGCCGCTGGAACTCGCACCCGCTGCGCGGCGCGTAGGCAGAGAAAATGACAGCTTTACCTCCTGGGATCAGAAGCTTGCGCGACGCCATGATGTCTGCCTGGCAAAATCCAGCAACAGAACGCCTGAAACTTGGATGCGCGATGAAGCCCGCCCCCGCCCGCTCGCCCTCAGGGTCGGCCACGCCGCCAGACAAAACAACGAGGAAGCCAGACTCCGTGACGTACGTGCAGGATTTCGATGTCCATGTCCCCTGTAAGCAAAGGGTATTGATACCTAGCGGCTCTACTACGACTTCTAGCTCAACTTGTTTCAAACCAGGATGCCCTTCGACGTTCCAAGATGAACTGCTGAAGTCGTCAGCCGTGGCAGGGCGTAAACGAACACCCCGAACCGCGGAAACTAACAACGTGGCTTGGCCAGCTGGATGTCCACACCCCGCAGGTGAATCGCCATTGTTCACGTGCGAGTGGCGCCCCTACGCGCCGCCCTTGACGGCAGCCTTCCCTTTGTCTTCCCCGAAAATTTGCGAGGGGGATCTCACCGAGCTTGGCGCTGAGGTTCGCGACCAACTCTTCGAAATTTGTGTAGCCGTCCTGCTCGAACCACCCCTCCCAGCCCGTACCAAAGTCGGTTGTTGCCCACGATCCCCCCGCTCACCGCCATATCAGCGCCAACCCACGCCTTACCCTCCTCTGGGTCTGCCCAAACGCTGTCGGCCGTGAACCCCCACTGATTGAGAAGGTGTTTGACGCCAAACGCGAAGGACGCGAGGCTGCGCCTAGAGAGAGCCATGCCCCTCTTTGCCCACATGTCTTTCCCACCCTCCTTGAGAGAGGCCTGACGAAGGAGTTTCACGGCAGCGTCCCTGTCAGCACGGTTCCCGAATCGAACGATGATGAGACTACGAAGCTCTCCTTTAGAGTACACCTCTGCCGGCTGCGGCCCGTAGAGGTTCCACATGTTCGTTTCGATCCATTTCTTCGCGTTCTCCGTGCTGCCGATCGTCTGAAGGCCACCGACCAC